GCTCGATAGGGGCCTTGCAAGCTGGTAACCGCTGCTTTGCGCGGTCGCATTTCGTTCGTAGGGCCATTAGCTAGGTTGAGCGCAGTGAAACTTTAATCCCAACATCTTCAAGTCAATCTAGTTGAGCAGTAGGTCATGCATTCAATTCTCCTTTCAGTGCACTCTGTCAGTCACCACGCAACAGCTGCCACAGTGCGCTGGAGTGGTCAGGACTCCTCGTGTAGCGAGAAAATAACTGCACCTGCAGTTGGGTGGGAACCATGGCGAACCACACAGGGTTTTCCCCGCCTGATGATCCCCACATAACGGTCTAGGTCCTCCCCAGAAGAGGTCCCTACTATGCGTGGTAGAGGTTCACGACCACAATGGAGTCTTCACCGTCCACTCCAGAGCAAAGGCCTGCCACTCGTCGGAGACGTTCCGGGTCGGGGAGAGCGTTGGAGGGTATTCGCGAACCTAGTAACGAACATGTACCCATACAATGGATAGATCCCCAAACCGGTCGCCCACTACATAGGACCCCTAGTCCACCTAACCGTAGTAGGCCCTCTACCTATAGAGATCCGAACCGTGACACGCCGGCCGCTGCTTTCGTTGCTAGCGCTGCCATTCAAAACGCACATAATGCATCCCTAATCGCCCAACAGGCGGCAACCGTTGCAGAGCAACAAACGCTCGAGGCCAACCAGGCCAGACACTATGCATCGTTCGTTGAAGCTCAAGCAACACAAGCGCTACAACAAGCAGAAGCCACCTTGCTAGAGACTAGGGCTAAGGCTGAAGCATACGTAGCACAAGCCGAAGCTAATGTTCGTAACACGCAACAACAAGCACAGGCTTTTGCCGCATCCGTTCACCAGGAGAGAGAACAATATCAGGCCCAGTTGAACTCTAGAGCCCAACAATGGGCCAGGGGGGTTGAAGCTGATGCAAGACATCGTGTCCAACAACTTCAGCACCAAACTGAGCAATACATGTCAGCTCAACAGGACACTGTGCCGTGTTAGAACAACAACTGTTGGCAGAACGTTCACCGGTGCCCAATTCACCTAAATCGCCGATGACCCAAATTTTGACCGGAAGCCAGTTGTCTACGCCTGTAATGGCCTATGGCAAAGACCCAAGTGAGGGTAACCCTTTTGCGGTTGGTATGCAACTCGAATTTCCTCCGGGACTGTTGCTCAGGATGCACAACCATCCTTGCCCCTGAACCTCAAAGGTTCCCATAGACCACAGGAATACTATATAGGCTCTGTCCGTGGCACACCTCCGGGTAGTGTTGCGCCGGCTGACGGTCATGCAAGGACAAGTTGCAAGCCTAGAAGCACAAGTCTCCAGCCTCCAAGACACTGTAAAGTTGTTAGCTGGTCATTTGCAATCCCTGCTTAACGCCCCTAAGACCATGAGCCCAACCATAGGAGTTCCGGTTCCACCGCCTCCTCCACCGCCAACAATGTTGATGCCTCCACCACCACCACCTCTTCCTCCGCACGCAGCGGCCCCCGTACCGGGAACAGCTGCTGTAGCGCTGATGGGTGGTACGGGTGGAATAACCGGCGTTTCGAGTAGTTATTTAGCTGATATACCTGCCGCGTCCTCAGCGCCACCAGTCCCAGGCTTAAGCATCTTGCCGCCTGCGTACCCAGTGGGAGACGACTCTTCGAGCTCGTCATCCTCATCAAGTTCCAGCGACGAAGGCGATAGTTCGCCCAGCCGCTCGTGTAGGGTTTGTGGAGGTAACCATCCTGAGGTTGACTGTCCATGGTTGACCATGAATCGGGAGACCCCTCCTCCTCCCTCGTCTGTCGACCCAGCTGAAAGCGTGGATCCCACAGAGCAGGAGTCAGACATCGTATACACGAAAGGCTTAAGTAATCTGGTCCTGCCAAACATCCCATCAGACTCCGGCCAAGCTAGGGGGTACATAAACCAAGTTCTTATGAACGTTGGGTCCTTCAGAAGTCTGCCGGTAATGACCTTTACATGTGGGCCCAAGAGTGCCTGACCAGGGAGGATTCCGATCTATCCTCTGACAAGCGCTTCCCACGGACAGACCGGGAAATAGCCACCAAGATGTTAAAAGTTTGTAAAACTGTGCGTTTTGGCACCATCTTTCAACGGATGGTTGAGGAATCCCGACTTGCCGGTAAAGGTATGCCATGCGGCAGAGTCATGCTTGCTACCATTTTCAGGCACTTCCAACTCGAGAAAGATCGTATTGGAATGCTAATGTTAGGTGAACGCAACCTTCTCACGCTAAGACTTAAAGGCAACAAGGTGGAGGATTTGATTAACTTTCAGGAGAAGTACCGGTACATAATGGCGGCCATCCCTGTTGATGACCTACCCCGGGAAACCACGTTGTTTAATCATCTTCTCGATGAGCTTGACAACAGTTCACACCTTTGTCCAGTAAGATAACTAAGTCCCGTGAGGCCCCAGCTGGTAGTCATCGTAGAACCACCAAGTGGCTATGGGAGAAGGTTGACCTATTCATCGAGCTGGAACGTGTCAAGGCCAATCGACACGCCTTCGATAAGAAGCTTCGTGATTCGCACACAGCTGATTTGGCCACGACATATAATCCCAAGTTGGTAACCGCAAACCCCGCGGCAAAGGCAGGGGAAGAAACCCAAGAAGGAAAAGGCTCCTAAGCAGGACACCACAACTGAGGTGCCCGCAGCTCCACTCGGCAAAGGTAAAGCCACACCTACAGGTCCTCCAAAACCTAAACCAAAAGGTCCTCCGACCACTCCTCGGTCGGAAGCCGTAGTTAAGGTAGCGGACATGACCATGGCACAGAAAGCAAAGACACCAGTGCATTCTTTGCCTTCAACTCCTGTCGAGCCAAGAGCTGTCCCTTCCTTCACGACGCGAATAACAAATACAAAGGGCCGCCCCCAAAGGCCCTCCGGTTCGCTAAGGGTAAGCCCCCACCTAAGGCACATGCCGCGGTGGCCCAAGTCCATGCCATGCCAGCGTTCGAAGATGGCGAGGTATCATGGCTCTGGGATACAGCTGCCGGAAGACACTTATTCGGTCGACAAGCGCTCACGCAGAGAATGCGAGAGTGCGCCTCGCCCTCAAGTACACCAGTGAACTTTACTACCGGCGGAGGCGCCCAGCAAGGCGCCGGCTCCCTCGCGTTTACGGGTAGTAAAATTCTAGAGGGCGAGGAGGTCTACATCCTTAAGGAGTGCCCACCGGCCCAATCTATTGGCAAAACGGTGATGGATAAAGGTTACACGTTCATTTGGGATCCCCGTGGACAGGTGCCGTACCTTATTCCACCAAGCATAGTCCCTAAGTGTAGACTACGTGTTCCCCGAAACCATCGGATCTGTGCATCCAGAGTTGTAGAATATGTTCCCCAGTACGATGAACATGTGCAACCTACACAGTTTGTCCCACCGGAACGATTGCAACCTCTCGGAGCTGTCGACGCAACACCTGCGGAGACCCCATCCGTCGCCGCAGACGACGTGAGCGAGCCAGTCGAGTCTGTCGAGGATGCATCTCCTAGGTCCAGTGCCATAGCGTCAGAGACCGCTGATGCATTCGCGGGGGGCATACCGCCTCATCCAGACGACGACAAGACGCCAATAGAGCTTGCCTACGAAGGGGATGACATAGGAATAGCGGATGACCCTGAAGCTTTGAAGGATGCCGCTTTCTCGGAACCGCATATCCTAACACATTACCCTAAGAATCCCATGTGCCCAATATGCCAGATCTCCAAGTCAACATCTAAGAGAGTCTCGCATAAACCTGATGTCAAAGACGCGAAGCAGCGGTTCCGGTCTGGAGCTCTGCTTCGGCTGTAGGGGTATGGAGGTTTAGATCAGGCTCTTGTCGGTTACTTAACGACTCAAGCGTGCTGGTCTCGGCTGGCAAGTCCTCAGTGGTTGGCTCAGACACAGGAAATTGTTGATCCTCTTCGAACTCTTCCGCACCGGCGGTTACAGAACCGGGCGGTGTGAGGGTGGGCTGCGACGAAGAGATGCCTGTTGCAACCCGGGGAGCGAGAGGAGGATCGGGCTCTGATACCTCCTCAAGCTCTTGGCCCGTGGTTTCCGCGCTAGGCGCGGTTCCAACAACTTCCCCAGGGGAGGCCGAGGCCTCTTGGTCCTGGGGGCCCTCAGCAGGCGCCGTGGCTGCGGCGGCAGCCGTGGACGACGAAGCGGCGCCGGTTGCCTGTGGCTGAGGGTTGATCCGGCCCATTGCAGGGCGTCGTAGCAGTGTGAATCGTGCTGCTACGGGATCGAGGGCCGCCTGTAGCTCGGAGCTACGGCTGATAACCAATTGAGTGAACAAACCAGGAGGGACGTATGGAAACGCCCAGCTTATCCTATCCACCGGGAGGTGGTAAAAGAAATAAGCTAGATCCCTGGATGCCCTATCTATGTTAATGATAACACGAGGCGAGTCCGAAGGACGAGACCCCGTGGTTGCAAGGACGATCGAACGAAGGCACGACGGCGAACGGACGACCGAACGAAAGTGCGAAAGGCAACAAAAGAGCGCGAGAGCGAATGCGAAAGGGAGAACCAACCACAGGTTGGTTAACCCGGCGCCCTGAAGAAAACGCACGCGGCTGCGATTGCTTTCTTGAGCCATAATGTCACGAATCACATATACTTTGTATGTGTTGGTGTGAAACGTGACAAGTTGACATGACTGTACATGTGGAGTACTGTTACATGTTAGGGGCCTGTAGAAAAATGACTAGAAAGTCACCAAAAAGGATCCAGGAACGGATGTTCACCAAACACAAAAAGAAGGGCACGTTAGCGCCCACCCAAGACTTGAACCAAAATGGTGCCCATTTTGGCTAGTGACATGTATTCAGCAATCAGTAAACATTACATGCCTTACGCATGCTCTAAGCACGCACGCATCATCACTAGGAGTCTGGGAGGACCGTCATGCTCTGGCTCTGGCCACGTCATGAAGGCCGAATGACAAACATGTCAACTCTAGCGTTTTCTTGCGTTTGTTGCCTCCTCCAAGTTCGCCGCGAAGGACACAGACAGCTTCAGCTCTTGTGCCTGATATGTGGACAGCACCGAGCAACTGGGTTGTTCAGCTGCATGAGTTGTCCACCTTTGTAAGGTTTTGCGTTCTTCAAATCTCCTGTCCCTTGGCGCTTTGCCCAACAGTTTCCAACTACCGACTTGTGGAAAACCAGTGCAAATTACTCGCGGTGGAGAAACCCTCTACAATAACAGACGTTCATCTATGAAAGTGGACGTCAGATCTTTGTCTTGCTCAAACAATTTCTTCATGGCTTCTTCCGAAACAAAAAAAGGTTCTACAAACAATCCTTTATACATACATATATATATATATACAGTATATCAATTGTTATACTCTATGATTGCTGGTTGACTGGACCCCCGTGTGTCCTATCTAAAAGAACCCGCCACCAACCTGCACCGGTCCAGCCAAGTCAGTCCGCGCCTGGGCTTCCGCTTTGGCCCAGGTGAAGCGATTGGGCTCCACAGCCAAGACCGGCAAGATCACCTCGGCCGCCTAGGCTGTCAAGGCCCAAAAAGTTCCTGTAATGCGTGCGAGATCATGCAGATTTGAAGGTAGATGAGAAGAAAACCATTGCGTGTCCTAAGTGACAGAAAGGGGTAGCGTAGCTGTTAGCTACTTTGCATGGGTTCTCAAGGAATTTGATCTCAGGATCTCAGTGGCAGATCCATGTCCCGATTATATAGGTTACCGTTTGTACAGAGCAGATGGTCAAGCAGTTTACCCATTGCACATTCCAAAGTGTCTTTAGCTTTGTTGCAAGTGCAAACTGTACGTCCTTGGTGTGGATCTCACACCCGAAGGATTCAAAACTAATTCATTCTCTTAGAAATGTTCACTGTGCACGGCCCCATACACTCACTGCGAATTGGCGGCAAGGGATATAGGCGGAGCGGTATGGACCGGCCAATGTACTCTAGAACCGACATAGGGACACTCAAACGAAACTACACTATAGTTTCAGCAAACAGCTCATTTCGACCATAACGGACATCAGGGGCGTGTTCAGGATAAGGGCAAACCGCACTGCCACCATGAACTGCCCTGCCTGGATCGTCGGGAAGTCATTCCCACTCCCACTGCCAAGGTCTAAGATGGAACCTCCAACCTCAATTGCGACAGGTTGGAGGTTTCATATGACTCGAAATCGCCCTTTTCGATGTTTGTTTGGATGAAAATAATTAAGAAAACGAAATTGGCAGTGATGTCTCACCTTCTTGGCAATCTTCCCCGCTCGCACCATGAGCTCAGCTTCGGCAGGGCTCACTTGGTTGTCCGGGTTCAAGCGATCCACCTGCAGGACAAACCGAGTGAAACCCCTGCCATGTCGTGGTTTCTGAAGGTAACCTGTTTAGGCTATGCTGGCAATGTTTCGGCTTGGAGATCCTACCCAGCCAACTCGGCAGCCAACGCAACCATGAAGCTAATTGAAACATCAGTTTCACATAAATCAGTGGGAACCAAAAAGTGAGACGCTAAAGCAAAAAACCCAGAACAATCCCATCAAGATTGCCTTCAACCAAGTTTAGATCGCCGCCGCCCTGGTACCTGCGCAATGTACCACAGGTAGCCGTCCATTTTCCGAACCTTGCAACTGCGGGAGTTCGAGTTGCAAGTTCCAAAGCAAAAGCACACAATAGTTGGATCAAATGCAGAAATCCCATCACCATTTTTGGAACATCCTCTGTCATAAAAGAGAAACATCGCCATTTTCGGAACAACGTCTGTCAAAATAGAATAGGGACACATCAAGGAACTACTCAGCCTGGTGACGGGATATTTCGGCAACACAAGATTCCCCAAACAGTGTTCAGAAAATCGTAATGAGTAGTCAGAAAAAGATTTTGGAGTCCTATAACCATGGTGGTGGTAGTCGTAGTGGTCAAGGTCATGGTGGCAGTGGTAGTATACAATCCTGTAGTGGTAGAGTAGTAGCAGTAGTAGTCGTAGTAGTAGCAGTAGCAGTACCAGTAGCAGTAGTAGTAGTAGTCGTGGCAGCAGTAGTAGCAGCAGTAGTAGTCGTCGTCCTCGTAGTAGCAGTAGCAGGAGTAGTAGTAGTCGTCGTTGTAGTAGCAGTACTAGTACTAGTACTAGTAGTAATAGTAGTAGTAGAAGTAGCAGTCGTCGTAGTAGAAGTAGTAGTAGTAGTAGCACTAGTAGTAGTACTAGTAGTAGTAGTACTAGTACTAGAACTAGTACTAAAGCTTGTACTACTTAGTATTACTATTAGTATTAATATTAGTGGTCGTAGTAGTAGCAGTAGCAGTACTAGTACTAGTACTTGTAGTAGTAGGACTAGTACTAGTACTTACTAGTACTAGTACTAGTTGTACTACGAGTATGAGTATTCGTATTCGTATTGGCATTAGTAATAGTCTTGGTATTTGTCCTGGTAGTAGTAGTAGTAGTAGTATTTTTATAGTAGTGGTAGTGGTAGTGGTGTGGTAGTGGTGGTGGTAGTGGTAGTGGTGGTGGTGGTAGTAGTAGTAGTAGTAGTAGGGCGTGGTACTGGTGGTAGTGGTAGTAGTAGTAGTAGTAGCAGTAGCAGTAGTAGTGGTGGTTGTGGTAGTGGTAGTGGTAGTGGAAGTAGTAATGGTAGTAAGAGGAGGAGCCATAGAAGTAGTAGTAGTAGTAGTGGTGGTAGTAGTCGTTGTAGTAGTAGTAGTAGTAGTATAGTAGTAGTAATGTAGTCGCAGCAGCAGCAGCAGCAGCAGCAGCAGGAGTAGTAGTAGTAGTAGTAGTAGTGGCAGCCTCAGTAGTAGCCGTAGTATTAGCCGCAGTAGTAGCCGTAGTAGTCGTAGTCGTCGTCGTCGTTGTATCATATATAGGGGTAGTAGTCGTAGTGGTAGTGGTAGTGGTATAGTGGTAGTGGTAGTAGGCGTAGTCGTAGTCGTAAACGTAGTCGTAGTCGTAGTCCTAGTCGTCGTCGTCGTCGTCGTCGTCGTGGTAGTAGTAGTTGTTGTTGTAGTAGCAGTAGTCGTCGTCGTAGTAGTATGAGTAGTAGTAGTAGTAGTACTACTACTACTACTAGTAGTAGTAGGGTTGTCGTGGTAGGAAGGTTGCAGTAGTCGAAAGGTTGTTGTAGTAGTAAAGTAGTAGTGGTAGTGGTAGTGGTAGTGGTAGTGGTAGTAGTAGTAGTACTACTACTATAGTAGTAGTATTGTCGTACTTGTCGTTGTAGTTATAGTACTAGTAGTATAGTAGTAGTAGTAGTAGTAGTAGTCGTCGTCGTCGTCGTCGTCGTCGTCGTCGTCGTCTGTGAAGGAGGCAGTCCTCGTTGCGCCTAACTTCCTGACCCCCGTGTTTTTTTAGTTGAGGGACGGTAAATGCCGTCGTGACTTTTGGCTCAAGGGATGGTCTTTGACCCTCATGGGCGCGCCACGAAAGCCACTTGCGATACCCCAACTTCTCTGGTCGAGGGACCGCGCCGCTTCAATGCTCAGGAGGGTCCTTCGTAAACCCTCACCTGGTGTGTCATCCTGGCAGTGAGCCTGTACACAACTGATCCTGGGTTCAAGACCAAACGGCTACAGTTCCCAGAACAGCCCCCAATTGCGAAACGCCTAGCGCGTCGGCTCAAACGCGGCGCCTATATTTCCGCACACAGCTGAGGTCGACAGGCAGGTGATCCTGGCGGGACGACAAGGAACGCCGAGGAGGCAGAGCTGTGGCGCGAAGTAATGCGCACGCTCTATGGCACAGAAGGGTCCGAGATGGATCTCAGTAGTGGCGAAGAGGACGAGGAAGAGCTCGTCACAGCGCACGCGAGTCCACGCGAGGAACGTGACCGTGCGGCTGGAAGCGCCGGCCCAGCTCGGGAAGAAATGGGCAGGCAACTAGCTTTGCTGGGTAGGCCAGCCACGCCTGCTTCATCCACCATTGGGAATGAATCCGTGTTCCAAGGATCTGCGACCATAGAGCAACTTGAGCAAGTAATGGCACGGCCTTTTGACATGGCCGAAGAATCGGCAAAGAAATATGCCAGGAGGCAGTACCGCCTTGTGGACGCGCTGTCTGACCTGGGGGAAAACGTGTCGATGGCCGAAGTCGAGCGGCGAGTAGCTCGCGCTCTGTATGAAGAAAAGATTCAGGATGGTGGCAGGAGAGCAGCTGTCTGCCTTGAAAGAATACTTCCGTGAACTCCTGTTGGAAGAGCCCGATGGAGATCAAGAGGAGGAACATGAAGCTCGCCTGGACGCGCTGATGCGGATGATCCGGAGCGGGGTGGAAGAGTTAGTCGAGCAGCAGCTAAAGTCTTCTCTTCGAATGAGGGGACGCCCGAAAAAGGAAAGTCCAAGCCAGAAGGGCGAAAGGTAGAACGGGAGACTCCAGGGGTCAAAAGGAGTTCGGAATTGGCGTCAGGCGCTGAGGTGGAAGCCCTCAGGCGGCGAATCGCGGAGGTAAGTCCCCGGAGGCCAACGCGTTCGCAGAAGCCATAGAAAGGCAAACCAGGATCATGGCTGAAAGCGGAGAAAAAACCGAAACGGTCGACCATCCAAGTCAGTTGTAAGGTCCAATGGCCGACGCTTGATGACGAATGTAGCGATTACAGGTCAGTACAAGAGTTCTATGAAGCGTTCGAAGCAACGATTGGGCTTGCAAATGATGGCGAAGGGATGACTGACATGGAAAAGCTGACGACGCTGAAGGCCTGTCTGAAGCAACATCGCCTGAAAACGTACGATTTGATTTATAGGCGGAACCTCAGCGCGGGGGTAGTCCGTGAGGATCCCGGCGAGGTGTACCGCCAGATTCGGGCAAAACATCTTCTGTTCTCGGAGACAAGTGAAGAGAAGGAAATCCGGATCCTGGAAGAAGGTGACGGTCTGGAAAAAGGTAAGCTGTCGGCTTTCCAGTGGGAAGTGCGCTGGGAATCACACCTTGCTGATCGGGAAAGTGTCGGGTTAGGTCTGAACCCAAAGGAAGCGTTGATTCAGTATCTTCGAAAGATAGGCCCCGTGTTGTCGAGGGACGTCAGACATGATCGGCGTTTCAGGCCCGACGGGACCGGGACCGGGAAGACGGTCTTTCGCGCCGTCTCGTCGTGGGAAGAAGCAGATCGAGGAGACCAACGCGGGGCAGAAGGCATTGAACAACAGTACCTTTGTGAATCGGTCGGGCGAAGGAAAGGGCTCGGAAAAGGACCAGATCAATGCGCAGGGTTCGGAATCCCTAGCGGCGAAGGTCTGCTATGACATGAGAGACAAAGGCGCTTGTTCCCGAGGCAAGAATTGTAAATACTCTCACGACAGAGCAGTCGTAGAGGAGGCTCGGAAGAAGCAAGGAAAAGGGAAGAATCAAGAGCAGGTAAGCCGGCACGACGACGGCAAGAAAGGACATGGAGGAGGCAAAGGTGCCGGAAAGAAAGGCAGTGGTGAAGGTAAGGGCAAAGGAGATCAATGTCAAGATGATCGAAAGAGCAAGCCCTGCAAGTTTTCCCATAACGCAGGAGGGTGTTCGAGAGGGTCCAAGTGTCCTTTCAGCCATTCCGCTAAGAAGATTGGCGGCGGGTCGAAGGACAGCGCAGGTCCCGCTCTTCAGTTCGGCAACTTGCCTGATCTTGTCGGAGTGGATGGAACCGGTCCGGCCAGAGGAATGGACAGAAGTAATCCTTTTGGCTGTTTTGCGCCAGTCGTGGTCCAAGAAAAGAGCCAATCGACTGACAAAGTGCTAGCGACCGACCCCAAGGCGAAAGGAAGAAAGAAGGGGAAAGCTGGCCGCTCAGAGGAAAGAAAAGAGCGGAGGACAACTAGTCTCGCTCGACCAACTCCCGAAACGTTGGTGGACGGAAGCACCGAACAGCAAAGGAGGATACCAATACCAGACGGATGTGAAAATCGTGGATCGATGTGTCTTTTGGACGGGTGTGCGGGATGTAATTCGATCGCCGAGGAAGTGGTGGTCGGCGCCATCCGGACAGCGCTGGAGCAAGGTATCGGACCGGGGAACGACAAATTCCCGGTCGCGCAATTGGAACGCTGGCCGCAAGAAGAAGTCGTAATGGGCTTGGCCAACGACGCCCCGATCAAATTGAAGGGTGCGGTCGTGATGCGTGTCCTCTTGCCAGATGTGAACGGGCAAAAGACGGAAGAAATCCTCGTCAGGGCTAAGGTCATCGCAAAAGAGCTTTCAACCTGGCATGGGTTGATCTTAGGTGGTCGAGCGCTTGATGCTGTGGAGAGAGGAGGACTGGGGTTCAGGCCAGCAGCCTCCACTCACATCTTCGATGCGCTTGGAGTTAGGCTTTGGAGAAAGGAGGGAATGGAACCGTTCCCTGACCATGCCTACCCGTTCCCTGACCATGCCTACCCGTTCGTCTCCATCCCACTGTCAGTTTTCGACCGCGCAAGAAGAACCCTGGATGAGTCAGACAGTGGAAGTGATGGCAGTGCTACCACAGCCACTACTGCGGCTGAACCTACTTTGACACTGCCACAGCCGTCACGGTCTGCTCCTTCCTCAGAGGAGAATTGCATCGATACGACTCTGACCAGGTTGAATGGAGAGCCAAGTGAGAAGACTGGGAACAACAAGATATCAATTGAGGAGGAATTGGGGGCTTTAGAACAGTTGCGAGGATCTTCATTTCCATCACCTTCACGTTCACCTGTCCAGATCTTGGCAATCGGAGATCAAACCATGCCTACACAATCTGAGACTGGGACTGGGACCACAAAAATTGAGACAGCCGGAGAGACACCCAATGACAAGAAGCCAGAAAAGCAGCTTTGGGACTACATCATTCGTCCAAAGAGCATTGATGATTTGCGACGGTTCCTCAAGAAACCACACACATCTGAGTTCCAGGATGAGAGAGTCAGGGCAACCCAGCACCCGCTTTTCGGGAAGTTCTTGACATCAAAATCAATGACCCTTCACGACGGCCTCAAGAAATGGGCTTTGGGAAGCAATGAGACGGAACAACTACAGGACCTACGTGGTTTCTTTGTGTGGCTGCATGACACGCAGAAAAATCCTGATCATGCCCCAGATGATGCACTCCCTAGTCAAGCCGCTAACGTTGCTGATCTGGAGCACTTGTGCAACATGAGCACATTACAAGCAGAGATGAATACTTGTGCCGGAGCACACCAGTTGGCACCAGAGGTAGGCACTGAGATCACATCCGCTGTGCGCAACATCATCCACGGGTCTTCAGATCAAAGCCGTGCTTCTCCAGGAGCAAGCGGCGCAAACAAGAAGGCTGTGCAAGAGGTGATTGAAAGCGCACAAAAGAAGATCAAAACCCAGCCACCATCCACGCCGGCTTCCAGGGCAAGCAGAAAGCGCCAAGGCCAAGCTTCGTTGGAGGAAGCCTTCAGGAAAGAGGTTGGGAGTTGGGAGAACCAAAGACCCGCAGAGTCAAAGAGAAGTTTTTCCTTTTCCAGATTCATTGAATATTCAAGACTCAACTCAACTCAACTGACTCAACTGTTTTGTTTGTGGTTTCCTGAGCACGATTGTCAATCTAGCCCTCACCCTTCCCCCTCCCCCTAAAAGAAATACCAAAAAAACACACACAATCACTCCACTGAGACTGAGAGTGAATCTTGAATTCATTGTGCATTCAATGCATCCAATCTAGATTATCTTGATTATATAACAATAAACACAAACATATCATAATTATAATATATAATGATATATACATTACATATGTTTTATCTTATGTTCATATAGCTGCTCAGCTGAGCTTTTGGAGGCGAAACCAGCGGCTTCAAAAAAAGCAAGAGGTGAAGCTGATAGCACTGAGTGGACAACCCAAAAAGGATTGTGTTTCTGCAGTGGCACGGTTTCCACTAATCGGGGGTTGTGGTGGTAACCCTGCTAATTCACCTGGGAGATTTGAAGTTAAATCTGTATACTGTGCTAGCTGCTAGCGTCGTATGTTTTGTTTCTTAAACCCACATTGTTGACAAAACATCTCCCATCAGGCCAAATGGCCAATTTGATGCGTTCAACCATGGAGGGATTCGAAAAGAGCAGCACTTATATTAAACATATAGATGGTCAAGTTGCGTGTTTTTATAAATGAACAACCTGATGGCCTGTTGAGCCATTGAGCCCTCCAAGTCAATCCAAAACTTGGAGTCAATCCAGCACTGTGGAGAAAAAGAGGTCGCTCGCCTATGTGTAGGCGGTTTGCGCCCGTGACGTGGTTTTTTTGATCCCATTGGCACGCATAGCCCGGACACAAATCCATCCGTAAATCCAAATAGCTCAACGGAAATAGTAAGGAGCGCTAGCAAAATGCACGCCCTGTTGCGAAAAGTCTGCTGGTGGGAAAGCGTGGAAAGTGATCTAGCCAAATTCAGTGACAATTGTTTGACTTGCATTCGCGGAAGAAAACGGGCTATGAAGCAGCAAGCCGCAGTCGCCGTGAAACCTTCCTGGTTAGAATGCTGGGAAGAAGTGGCAATTGATTTTGAAGGACCGATGCATCCGGAAGATGGAGAAGGGAATCGGTTCATCTTATCGTACATGTGCTGCATCTCGCACTCCATCATGTTGGAGCCTTGCAAGTCGCTTACCCAGATCGAAATGCGCCGAGGTTACTCGAAGCCTATGTTCAGAAGCGGGACGATTCCCAAGATCGTGAGGTCAGACCGTGGCCAAGAATTTAAGAGCACGTTGATGAAGGAATATTGCGCGCTCATAGGGCTGCGGCAAAAGTTCAGCGGTCCCTTGCGACCATGCGAGCTGGGGTCGACTGAACGAGTCCATCAAGAGACTCAGAAGGTCTTGGGTTTGCTCGTGCATGACGTGTGTCGAGCTAAGTCACATGAATGGTCAGAACTTCTGGAAGTAAAATTCATTTCGGATACCACTCCTGGCCCAGCAGGGGTCGCCCCACGAGACTTCGAACGAGGGTGGAGGCTAGCGAGCCCTTTAGAGCGAGAGCTACTGGGGCAGGAACGCTGGGAGTTCGAGCCAAACGAAGAACAAACAAAGTTGTTTAAGACGTACCGGGAAATCGGAGTGAAGGTGTTGGGCTGGTACGCGGCGGCTTCTGAAAGGAGAGCAGAGCGGGCGAACCGGTTCAGGAAAGCCAAGGTGATTGAGATCGGAGGCCTCGTCGTCTACCGCGATCCGCGGCTACGGTCTGGAGGGCGGACTCCTTGGCGTAAGCAATTGTCCGATCCTATGCGGGTCGTTGCTCAAAGAGGGAACCGCGTGGATCTTGAAGCAGTGAAACCGACCGATGGCATCACTGCCCGCACAATCCGGGATGCGCATATAGAAGACCTGCTGTTGGTGCCCCCAGATGCTATGGATGATGTGATGGAGCCCCTGTTTTATGATGACCGAGGAACGCGAGCGAGCAGGAGCTGCCGCGGAGGGAGTTCATCCAGCTCGACCTAGCAAACGGACGAGTCAGGGGAAATTGGCCGCCCTTCGTGTGGGCAGCATGGTGGCGTATGCCATCGAGAGCATTCGTGCCAACGTGAGACGTTGCCGCGTTGGCCTAATCCCGCAGCGCAGCAGTGGGAAGTCCACCGATTTCAGCCTGTGTCGGATGGCAGGCTATGCGTTTTGTGGAAGCCGCTTTATCTGTCGGCGAGGACCAAGGAAGAGACGCTAGAAAGCGTCGGCTCGGAGCCAGTCGTGGAAGCAGTGCCGTTGCAACGGGCGATAACCGAAGGGTTCCTGAACGGTGGAGTCTGGAACACGGCTTCGGCGCGGAAAATCGACGAGAGCGGTTACGAGCAGCGATCCCCGGCTCTCAAAGCGGAGCTGGATCGGCTGCGTGTTTACGTGGTGGCAAATAATTGGCGAGACGCTGCGGCGCAAGCCCAAGCCGTAGCAACGATCGCCTAACCCACTTCGGAGGACGAAAGTCAAGCCGATCGAGTGCGCGTGAGTGGCGTGGCCAGGAGTGAGGACCTGCCCAACTCGGACGGAGTTGCCTTAGAAGCCTTGTGGACGCAGCGACGCCAGGAGTCAGTCACGAAGTGGCGCAAGTACGCCGCGCCCAGGAGAAGAATTGGGACGGCGTGTGTTCAGACCTGAGCGCGTTCCGATTCAGTGGGGAACTTCCCATGGCTGACCCAAGGAGGACAGCCGAATGTCGGGAAGCCGTTGTGGCCGGTCTCGGCTTTGCGCGAGATGGGCCAGGAAGCCGTGGCTGAACGACCAGCAATTCGACGCGGTCAGGGCGAAAAGCTGCCGCTTTCTGGGTTCCTGGAACGCTTCGTACCACAGTGCAACATGTTCAGCGCGACACCATCCCTACAGGACCTCCGGTGAAGACACCACCGCATCGCCTGTCGCCTGAAGCGGCAGAGTGGATTGATAAGAAGATCGAGGAAGAGATCGCACGCGGGCAGCGGGTTCGGGAGAATAGTGCGTGGGGCAGCCCGCCATTCCCTACGAGAGACTCGCCTGCCCACAAACGGGCACGGGAGGGCAGGATCGCGGTCGATTATAAGGATGCTTCTCGGAAAAGAGTAGTTGAACCATATAGAATGGTAGTTGAGAATTTGAGAGAAAATTGATGTGAACATGGCCTTGCATGATGGTCATCTTTGTGAACTTGGCTTCATACAAGCCAACAGTGCCTGCTGGAAACAAGTGGCTGGAGAAAGCCACCTCAAGTTTGCAAAGCCCTCTCAGAAAATCTAAGGTCGCCAAGTTTCAGCAAACCTCATTCATGATATCATCTCTTTGTGTATTTGGACCTATGTGCATATTGATGCATACCCATAGACTGCCATACACAACTATATAGCTACTTGCTAACTCTTGACAGACACTGATATTGCAACGACATATCACAACTAACAGTTTTTAAACCTTGACTCAATAGGGACCATGTGTTCAGCAAAGAAGGGCATGTGTGCCTGCATTTGGTGACAATAGGTCATACAACTGTGTGGATGTTCAATGGCAAAAATGTCATCAAGTGAATCAAGTGAACAAATGTTGATCATTTCATCCATTCATACAAAATCTACAAGGAGTTTCAGAAAAGGTTGGGTTTGGTGGTCAGCACTCTGGTTCACCACATATCTATGTTGCAGTCCATGCTTGTTTACCATGCGCATGTCTTCTTGCTGCAGCTTGGTAGCCAGCACGCTGGCTTACCATGTGTCTGCGTTGTGTTTGTTGCAATCTGGTAGCAAGCAGGCTCGTTTACCAGGTGTGTATCTTGTTGTTTGGCAGCCAGCACGCTGGTTTGCCACTCTGGTTGGTAAGCAGCACGCTGGCTTACCACGTATTGTGTTCATGTTGGTAGCCAGGACTGACTGGGTTGCCATTGGTGGTGGACTGGTAGCCAGGGCACTGGTTTTCCATGTATGTTGAACGGTGGCCAGCTCGCTGGCTATACCATGTATGTTCACATGGTAGCCAGCACGCTGGCTTGCCATGTATGTTCATGTGGTAGCCAGCACGCTGGCTTGCCATGTGTGTTCATTTGGCAGCCAGCACGCTGCTTTGCCATGTATTCATGCGGTAGCCAGCACACTGGCTTGCCATGTGTATTCATGTGGCAGCCAGCACGCTGGCTTGCCATGTATGTTCATTTGGCAGCCAGTGCGCTGGCTTGCCATGTGTGTTCACGTGGTAGCCAGCACGCTGGCTTTCCATGTATGTTCATTTGGTAGCCA